CAGTGCTTTCTGCAAACAGTTATTTGGACAAACGGACGGCATTGCTCCACATTTAGCTCTTTGAAAGACGCATATTTAGTACTGCTGAAGTTGTCAATGATTGCCCAACATTTCACGAATCAAAGCTTCGAAATATACCTCCTGAAACTAATCTCTCCAGTAAAATGGCTGAACAATTTTTGACGCGTCGCATAACTTTCCCATGTTTTTATTTGTGCACGAACGGATTCGGTAATAACGTGTCATACTGCTCTTTGCGCATTTTCTTGCCTTGTCCGTTCACGTAAGACGTTTGAATCCCCTACCACATTCAGTAGTAAAAACTGCGTTTTATTTTTTTTCTAGCGCAATGTTTGCCATCGTATACTGGTGTCTGACAGTAGTTTCTCTGATGTCATCAAGCAGAGCTGACGTAATCAGAGACCTAACGCCGTCGTCGCCCGTTCTGCATGACAACGCCATTGAACTGCGCCAGAGACAAAGGTGTACAGCATGTGAAGCTTCGAAGGAGGCGTGGGGTCAAGACTTAATAGACCAAAAGCTCCAACTGGAAAAAACAAAGCTGCTGAACAAACTGCACCTGACCGAGCCACCGGGAGTCTTCGTGAATGTCAATGACATCCCGACGATACTTGTACAACAGGATCCACAGCGTAGTCTTTACAACGACTACACGAAACACCCTGCGCAGAAAGAGCAGGACGAAATAGAGAGTAGTGTGTTCATTTTCGACAAGACGTTAACTACCGGTGAGGCTTTCTTTCATAATCTAAAGCTAGTTTTTATCTTAATTAATTCCCAGCTGTCAATTTACGTAGTTCCCTCGAAACAAAAGATTTTTTTCGGCTTTAACCCCGTTTTTATAAGTGCAGAGCAGGCTTCTAGTATGCATATGCATATTGATCATGGTAATCATGATGGATCTAATAACGGTTATAGTTAATATTTTAATGATGAAATTAACGGTGTTAAATTAGCATTAATATGACAGTTCTCTGTCACTGTCCGGTGTGGGCACAAACTCAGTCAAATTGGAATTCCGAATACCAGAAGCAAGTGGGTTTCTGCATTGCTTAGATCGTTCACATGACTGTAATACGGGGCCTTGCAGAATATTGAACAATGCAGAAACATTCAAACAGAAAATTCAAACAACTTCGATATCAGTGACTGATGTGGGCCGGTTCAGAGGGGGAGGGGTTGGGGGGGAGCTGACTGAGTCATATTTTCTCAAAGGCAGTCGCGACCAAGTATATGCCAGCGAGTGTCTGAAGAGCGTGGTGTTTTCGAATCGAAAACTGCTTACCCTCGGTTCATTTTACATGATACCAAAAGCTACTCAACATGTTCAGACGGATGAAGCTTCCATTACTTTACCTACAGAAAATATTATAAATGACAATATATTATATATTATAAATGATATCAAACGATGCCACACTGCCGGACCCGGTTTCATTAGATCTGACAGACCGATTATACCTATTTGTTTAACTTGAACCTCTTGGCTAACTGTTGT